GTGAAAATTAAGAAGTCTGTTATACTTCATTAGGTCACACAGACTGTGGATACCACTGGTGAAAGAAAAATTACTTCATAGTTTTTATAAAGACAACCCAGTTGGGCAAAGAAATATCTAGTCAAACCAGATAGGTATGCTATACTACAAACTGCCTCAAATACCTTTGAACAAGAAATACTCATTAATCCTTCTGCTCAATATAGCATGTTAGATTACATCATTTGAAAAGGTCTCCTTTAACCTTGTAATGCAAAAAAAAAAATAAATAATTGAGCCAACATTGTCATTTGGATGGAAAAAAACTCTAAAAATGTAAAACAAAACACTTGCCTCAGTCAATGAGGTAGTAATTCACTACCAATATTCCACATTTTCTTAGGCTGAATATACTGAACTGCATACAGCAGCAAAGCCTTCTTAGAACCTCTCCCTGCAGCTGAGGGATAAACCCAGGATTTTTTCTACTACTATAATTCAATCTGTTTTATTTAATAAGCTGCGCCCCCCCCCCCACACCACACACTACCTCAATAAGGTGCCCCCCCCCCCCCCTTTATTCTTTTGAAAGCAAGTTCTTTCTAAATCATAAGACGCTTCTGGAATTTCAGCATCTCTTTGCCAACAATAATTACAGGAAAAATATGTAAGATTTCAGCCAGAAAATTTCATCTATGTCACATGTCCCCAGCCTCTCACAGCAACTGCTCTACAGTATCAGGTCAGACAAGTATCTTGTATCAAATAACCGTAAAGCCAAATGTTGCAGAGGAAGGCGTAAAACTTCAATCATGTGCAATTTGCACATCAATACATCATCTGTACAAACTCCTTTATCATCTTTAGGCTAAATTCCCTCATTTAAACTGATAATAACATGAAGCTGAGCAATGAAACAGGCATTGAATCAACTTTAAAGTTGTCTTCCAAAATATCTGCAGTCTAGACTTCCTTTCATGTCACATGTCTGCTTTGCATTGCCTCTTCTCAACTGTTTTAGGAATTACTCCCATTTCATGTTATCTATGCTGCGTCTGCATGACTGCCTGAAGAGAAAGTGTAGTGACATGCCATTTTCCTAACTTGACTTTATGGATTCTTCTTTTACCTCAACACTTTGGGCAGAGCTAGCTGAATAATAATAAGGTTGAATTTAATAAATGTCAATCCAGGAAGAGATGATGGTTGTAAGTAAGAGGAAATAACCAACACAGGTACTAAATACAGAACTGTATCTCAGTAACATAATGTTAATTTTTGTCCTTTAGCATCTTTAAAGAGTGCATATATAGTTCAAAAAGAACTTAAGCTGTGCTGAAATGGAACAGTCAAATCTCCCTCCCATGGATCTCACTCCAAGCTTTCAAACTCCAAGACTAATTTCTACCATGTGACTTGCAATTAATTGGCCTGTTCCTTAAAATTACAGCTGGTGAGAGCAGGACTGTTCCTTCAGGTTCTAATCCCTGCCCAGTGACTGTCAACAAATTGAGCTAGAGGGGGTCTGCAGCTGAGGGTGCCCAACCATGCTCAGAAACAGATTCCGTAGACACCACTGGTCACAGAATATATAATAATCACCGTAGACCTTGGTGTATCTAATTGCTCCCTGGTCAGATGTATGGTGACAGTACTGTTCTACATAGTCTTTCACAGGCTGGATATTGACTGTATTTCACTTTCCTGCACCTATTTAATGATATATGAGGCAGGCTGAAGTATATTTACTGACATTGTTTACCCTGACACAAGGAGATGGAGTTTTATATTTCTCAAAGAATGATCTTCAAATCCTAGAACCTGATGTCCTCTCAGTGACCTGAGATCTTTTACTGAATTTAAAATTTCTGCAGATCACAGAAGTTCCATCTATATTTTCAGGGATTCACCTGAGAAAAACAGATAAATACAATCTACACAAGCTGTACTCTGGGGATGCAATTTAACCTCAAAATTTATTGTAAAAATTGTATGAATTACTAATAATTACAACTAAGTTCAATCTCACACTCAGAATTCTAGTTTCATATGTTTTCAGCCTGCAAAACTCCAAAATTAAGAGAGAAAACAGAAAGACTTGGCACAGATATGTATCAATAGATACTAGTTAATTTGCTTCCTACCCGTTCAAAGGGTAAACTACAATCTGAATCACTGTCACCTTAAATCTTAAAGAAAAATCTGAGTTATACCCAATACTTCTAGCAATGACTTATCATCAGAAGTCTCATTCTTCATTTTGTTTCTATTCTTGGTATTTGAGTTGCTTTGAATCTGAATCATTTTGAAGTCAATACAAAGCACCATTCACATGCATTTCATTTTGAAAAATCATTAGTGTAAAAGAGAAATCAAGCATTAAAAAACTTCAACATACCCGTTCATCATTTGTTGCTCTTGTTGATTCTTCCTTCCCCTCATCTGGCAGAGGCATTCTAGTCAAAGCTAGTCCATTCAGGGCAGCTAGCTTTAGAGGCCCTATTTTTTTTGCATCATTTTTATTCTTTTTCATACCCTGCAAAACAAAAGGTAAAACTTGCAAATATTCTTAAATATCTGAAGAACTTACAAAGCAGAAATCAGATAAGCTCAATTAAGCAAAGGATACTTCTTTGAACCCTTCTGCAAACAGCTCTGACCTTTTTTTTTTTTTTTTGATAAGCACTGCAGTGAGAGATTAGGGTGGTGGGACTACATTCCTCCAAGGACACAACACAAGTCTGTCTTCATTCCAGATAGGTTAGTGAAACTGCATGAGAATGACAAATATTGTTCCCTACAAAGCTCACAACTGAGGGTGTGAGGTGACAACTCTGGATAATTAACATTCTTGGACAGAATTGAAATCACTTTCCAATGCCAAAAATACATTAAAATGATTCTTTAATAGACTATTCAGTTTGCAGGCAGTTTTCTTCCCTACAAGTGGGCATAACAATAAGCAGATACCTTTAAGATATTTGGATATAGTTAAATGTTTCAATAAGTTTGAAACAAACTGCGCATACAAAATGGAAACACAGAACTGCAGACAGATCTGAGCCCTGAACCAAGACATGAATCTCAACTATTGAAGTTACTATTTATTATTTGAGAAAAATACAAAAGGGGGATTTTTATGAAAGAATAAATTCAAATGATTCTTTAAAAAAGTGTAAGACTAAACTTCATCATTTCTGCAGTTCCTAAGTTTGATTATTAACAAAAATACACTGAAAATGTCAGTGTACATGCTGCTTGAATGATAATCAATGCTTTCAAAAGCCAAATGATAGTGAGGAATAGGAAGACAAAGCTAAGAGGATGAGACAACATTTAAAAGTGAAGTGAACACAAACACAACAGTAAGAGTTCACTGAAAGGCAAAATGTGCAAACAACCAGGACATTCATCTCAATATTGGATACAGAAAGGTAATATTCTCTACTATGCAATGGCACTCTTAAATGTTACTGAACTAGAAAGTATTTTACTGAACACTTCCAGTGAAAAAGTTTTAGTATCAATTTCATTTCAAAGATTAACTTGAACATTTACATAGCTATCAGAAGGAAAAGGCAGGGTATGATTTTAGTAGACACATCAGTGTCTGAAAATGTATCTTTTGAAGAACAAAGTACTAAGTGACTATCTAAATGTGAACACAAGGAGAAAGGTATCATCTTTTTTTCCTACATCCACGTAACAAACAGGAGGAAGGAGATTTAGAAAAACATACATAATTATAGAATTAACTGAAGCTGACGAAGGTTCATTTTATTATGTTCAGTCCATGAATAGCAAGTCTGGCAGACAAAAAACTGTGAGAGCAGTAGTTATTTAAATACATAGCTTTTGCACAGGTTAGCTTTTGCAGCATCATCTGTAAGAGTTACAACAGCAGTAAAAGTTATATGGTAGTTCCACAGTAGTCCAGTTTGTGCGGAAAACTATTTGACACTAACTCAGGCAGGCAAAGTTAACAACAATCGATTTTAAAAGGCAAAATAATAATTAAAATGGTCTTCCTCCATTAGTACATGAAAGATGCCACAGACTACAAAAAAACTGAACAAAAGTTTTAAGCAAAATAAGTAGTGAGGACTGCCAGTGAAACTGTACAGTCCCACACAGACCTTGATGTTTCTAGGAGGTGAGAATTACAGGGAAGGTGAAACTTTCAGTTGTTCACTATTTACGGCTTCCTAAGTTGGAGCACGAGAAAGAGACATGGCAAGCAAGAAATACCTTTAGTGAGGTAAAAACAGCATGAAGAGAAGGCAAAAGGGAAAGGATATGAAAAGGGGAAGGGATGGAGAAAAGAAGAGAATGCAAGGAAATAATTTATTGCCTAACGCGTCAAGTCCCCCTCCGAGGTCAGAAGAAGAAAGCAAACGAATCAAAAAAAGTAAACATTCAGCTACATTCAATTTTTCAGTGAGAGAAAGATTAGAAAGCTGGTAGTGGAATGGAAAGAGTTGTTTCTGTTCCAGATAAGGATAGGTAGGGGAGAATTTGGGATCTAAATCTGACTTTAAATTAGCTCATTCTACAGTTGCTAGCCAGGTTAGGTGTATTAGATGGATGGAGGTTGCACACCTGGATTTATGTGGGAAGACTACACAAACAGAACTCAGACATGGCAGAGAAGGGAATAAAAGATAGCTGAGCAAAGTTAATCAGGGAAAAACAGAAAAATAAAGGTCAAGCTTAAGGTAGCTTTTAATTCACATGTTTTAACAGCATCTCGGGTCGATTAAAAAAACCCCAAACCTCAAACAAAAACCCCACACAACTCCCACTACAGAACAACATGAAATAAGAGGAATAGTATCCACTTACACCTAGCGGGGGAAGGCCTTCCACAATATTCTTCTTCCCAGAGAAAAGATCGGACACGGGTCTCTTCTTTACCGAATCTTTCCTTACTCTGTATCTCCCTGATGTTGTAAGATCAGATTCCGACATAGATGGAGTAAGCAGTCCTTCCCCTCTTCTCTGTACCTGGCTTTCTACTAGTAAATGAACGGGGCTCATATCTTTCATTCTCTTTTCTGTCTCTGTAATATGTAATTTAGGCTCAAGAATATGCAAAGGGCCAGCAGATGAAGCAACAGAGCTATAAGGGTAGCTCAGTACTGAATCATGAGAATAACCACCCATAACGGATGAAAGTTGGGTTTGATCTTCAGGGAGAGGCGAAAGACTTGTACTAGCCTTGTTTTCTTCTTCAAATTCTTCTTCTTCCTCACTACTGTGAATCAGCATAGTGGCATCTGAAAGGGTTTTCTTATGATCACAGTTCACACTTTCTTCTTGCCCGCTTTCTTTTTGCTTTGTTCTCTCCATCAGATTGTTGGGCTGTGACCCTTCTGAGATAACTCTTGGAAGAGCCACATCTGCTGCAGAAGCTGACATGGTCCTCTCTTTAATTCTTATTCCTTCAAAGCTGGGAGTCAAGCCTGCTATTTCAATACTGTTCCTTTTCTGCAGCTGAGCATGGCGTGCTGATGTTAGAGGTTCACTGACTTCCTGAAGAGAATGTGCCACAGGCAGGCTGTCTTCCTGAAATGTCTGGACAGAATGGTGTACTCGCCTTGTGATAAGATCTGGATTGCTGCTGCTAATGTAGATGTGTCGTGAAAGGTCTGGAGTACTATTTGCAGGTCTTGGGTATGGGTATGGGGGAGGTGGTCGATAGACTTGGGTCTTCATTATATTTGGTGCTGGATAGTCCTGAGCCTGGAGCTGCACATTTGTCAGCTCCGGCACACTGACTGCCCCAACAACTGGGCGCTTTTCAGCAGTATAGGGATAGGGGGATTGGCTATGAAAACTGTAGTTCAGGTTAAATGGATAATGGTTAGATTGTGGGGAAGCAAAGTGAGCATGTTCTCGTATTTCAGGTTGACTGTAAACTAAGGCATCAGGCCTGCTGTAAGCATATGAATTGCCAATGTTAAGATTTCTCATTGAATGACTCTGCCTATCTGTGTGCACCATTCCCCTGTTGAGCTGTCTCATTACAGTTTCATAGTCTGGTGTAGGGCGATAAGAAGGTGGTATTAGTGCACTATGTCTATGCGATGGGACATAATCTGTTCTGAGGACATCGCTTCCAGTAATGCTTGGGTTAGAGGACATGGGGGATGGCTGCAAGTAATGTTGTGGATTGTTCAGGGAGTTTGTGCTATGTGCACTATAGACACTACCATTGCGGATCCGACCACTGTAGTCGTGAGGGGCTCTATCCAAGCTAGTCTGAGAGTGACAGTAGTATCCATTCTGATTGCTCACAAAGAGGTTATCTGAAAGTAAAGTTTAAGAACGATCCTTATGTCCAAGACATCAAACAAAGATATCCTCTGTTAAGATGTAGCTAACCGATGTTTGAGATTTTCAGAATCTCAGTTATTCTTACGTATGTATTGAAATGAGAAGAAAAAAAAAAAAAAAAAACCACAACCCCAGCTTTTTTGTTGTTGTTGTTACCTAAGGTACATATACCAGAATAACCTATTATGTTCATTTAGATGATGAAAATTCCTGTTGGAAAATATTGTCTCAGTTTAAGAATGGCTATCTTCTGTTTAGGATAGGTTTGCTGTTTCAGTCCAGGTTAAACAAAACTCATATCAATCTTAAACAACACTAATGGAAAGAAAGAATGTCTATACCAGGGTTTGCACTAATCTAATTAGATCAGTTTAAACAGCAAGAAAGAAAAAAAAGCAAACAAAAAAGAACCAAACCCATAAAAATACCCCCACAACAACAAAACAAAAAACTTCTCATTCTTCTTCTCCCCCCTAGGACATAAATAGATATACTGCCACAATACCTTTTAAAAAAACCAAAACAAATAAAATTAACTTTTCTCCAGAAATTCTGGAGACAGTTTAAACCATCACCATGTAGTGTTTGCACATTGGGTACAGAAAATGGGGTGGGTAAAGAAAATAATCTAAAAGTTTATATATCTAATATACTTTTAATAATTTAACCATTACTTCATTGGATGTACAATTTGACAAGTTCCAGAAGAGAACAATGCAGTCATTGCTTTAGATGCCTTTCATGATTTACCTCTTCAGGTTCACCAAAATAAATGCCACACTTACGTTAATGAATTGCTGACAATCAAAAATTCTTTTGTTTGTGAAAAAATTGTTCAAAAATAGGACATGTGCAGTAGCAAGTATCCAGAAATAATTCCAACACTATATTGGAACAAATTCAGCTACATTCTGAATTTATATACCTGTGCCTTCATGAATACTTGTGTAACTCTATTTAGATAGAAAATGTGCTTCTTCCCTTACTAGTGAGTTGTTAAGAGTATTTTTTTAATCTAGCTGACTTGTAGGACTGGAAGGTCCCTATCAAAACTGAGGCAACTCTGCAAGAGATTAGATTAAGCCCTTCAAGGCAGCAACTTTGTTAATTAAAGACACAATGTGTAACAATCAAAAAAATGAGAGAAAGCAGCTATGTCTCCACTGTAAACCATTTGGATTAGGAGTATTCATTCCTTGAGAATTCTAATTAGGGTTTGCTTGGGTTTTTTTCTTTCCTTTTTTCAATCAAATGTATACCGATTCCACAACTTGCAGACCTCCTTAGCCTTTGAATTACCCACCACCTTGTAGTCCAGTGAACTGAGAGAAACTTGTCTCTTCCTGCACCTTGGGTTTAATATTTTTTTTAATATTTTAATTGTCTGAATTTTCTGGGGGCTCATTTACTCTTTGCAGCTATTAAGATCAATATTGACAAGGATATCACAATGCTATAATGTACCAGTTTGGTACATGAACCAAAAAAATGATGGTCAGCTTAAACTCACACAAGGGACCACCCATAGTCTATAGCTGCTGTATATGCTGTCATAACTAACTTTGCTCATATCCCATAGGAAAGGATATGGAGGAGGAGTGGCTGAGGAAACTGAGGTTGTTTAGCCTGCAGAAAAGGAGGCTGAGAGGAGACCTTATCACCCTCTACAACTACCTCAAAGGAGGTTGTAGCAAGGTGGGGGTTGATCTCTTCTCGCAAGTAATGAGTAATACAGTAAGAGGAAATGGCCTCAAGTTGGGCAAGGGGAGGTTTAGATTGGATATTAGGAAAAATTTCTTGACTGAAAGGCACAGGCTGCCCAGGGAAGTGGTTGAGTTGCCATCCCTGGAGGCATTTATAAGGCATGTAGATGTGGTGCTTAGCGACATGGTTTAGTGGCGGACTTGGCAATGCTAGGTTAACGGTTGGACTTGATGGTCTTAAAGGTCTTTTCCAACCTAAATAATTCTATGATTCTATGATTCTATTTCACATTAGCCTATATGCCTAGAGTAACAGCAAGCACTTCAAGGAGTGTTGTAGTACAAACCTACCCCATGTTCACCCTATGAATTTATTCAGCTCTAGCTAAAGTAGCTATAAATGCAAATTATAGCTTTCACATTCTAAAATTTTGTAGAGTGACATTGGATTTAATGAACTTACCTTGGGAGGATGCATATGGTTCAGTATAATGACCATTGTAATGCAGCTGAGGTGGTGGAGGCATCATATAAGGCTGAGGCTTGGGCTAAGAAAGGAAGCATCTTACTGTTAGTTAAAAACTCATTATATATTTTTAAAATAAGTAAAAAATGAAGATTTTTTTATATATATATATTTTTATATATATAATATGTAATGTATAATAAACACACACACAAAGCCTTAGTCTTAAACCATTTCTCTAAATCTGCAATGTAAGTTTCTCCTGTGAGGTCGTACAAGAAATAATTTTTTAAAAGAAGGAAACAAAACCAAAAGCACACACCAGCAACCCAAGATTGTATCTTGTCATCTGACATTTAGGAAAGTCTCCTAGATGAGTCTCCTGGAGACAGAGCAATCAAACTAAAAATAGAAGTGTTTAAAATACTTTTCATTGCAATTATTTTAATTCCATTATTCAGATATTACACAGTAGCTTTTTCTACAAGTCAGAAACAGTTTCTTACATATTAGACTCATCTTTTTCACTGCTCATTTTATTTCACTGAAGGAAACTAATGTCTGATTCAAAGTCCATATGAAATCCATAAAAAGACAAATATAAAACTATTTTATTTCCTTACCATAGACATCCTGGATGAAGACCTCCTTCTAACAGGATTCACTGTAATGGGCTGGGTTTGTCTACAGAACAAATTCTACAGTGAGAAATTATTCTTAATGACACCAAGACCTACTTCAAACCTTGGAAGTTTCTTCCAAGTTCAGTTAAAAATTACTACATTTCTTGGAGCCAGGCCCTGTGTTAAATAGTCCTCCCCAACAGCCTCAAAAGGAAAGAGCTCTGTGCATAAACCACCATTGCAGACTGCATGAGCAGAATCACAAAACCAGGATCGAAATACCTCAGTTATTTTTTTGCCTCAATTCTATGAAGCATAAAAAGGAGACATCCCTGAAGCATTGCAGCAGGGTAGAAAAAGCAGCTGAGTAACTGGGGACTAGTTCCAAATTTGAACCCCATATAAAATTTCATAAATGTCAGTTACCTGTTCTACAAGACCAGACAAAAAATTGTTTACAGAACATAATGTTACACGAACTGGAAAGCGTGATTATACTGCATAAACATTTGTGTGTTCTAACATTCAAGCTAACGGTAATAAATTTTCATAATTTGCTGGATTGCCTCCAGGATGTAAGGTTCAAAAACCTTAAGCTCCTTCCCCTCTCTCCCAACACCGCACCTGTACTCTGTATCTTGCAGCAAGACAGAAGTCAAAAGACAGAATAATAAAAATGCATGAACTGCTAGATTTCAGAAAAAAAGATGATTTTTTCAGCTCACCCTTTGGGAAGTGAAGGACGAGAAAGGATTGGAAAGCGTGGAAGGGAAAGAATGAGGGAAGATTTCTGAGACCCCTCCTCAGGTGGAGAGTCCAGGGAGTCTCTAAAGAAAAGGTATGTACAGATAAAGAAAAAAACCCTGAACTTAATACAGGCATGCGTAAAACAGTTTTCAGCAGTAGGACCAGATGACAGGGAATCTTTGAGTAGAGATAATCAGAAAAGTTTTTTTGAGGACTTCACCTATTAATAAAACCATGTTGTGGTGAATGGGTTAAAATAAGTAATCCTAGAGACTGACATTCAATACAGAACTATAGAAGTGACTTCAGATAGCAATGCACAAGTCCCACAAATGCACTACTTCTACCAATATTTCTTATCCCTCTCAAAAGGCAGCCAGGTTTACAAGCCTAGAGGTATGAGGACTACTCTATTCCAAATTAATCTTACTCTTCTAAAATAAATTAGCATTAAACACACTAGTGAGTCACCGGTGGTACAAAATATTCCATTATCTTTCCACTGGCCTCAGCAAATTTTGGACCAACCCCTTCATAGCTACCTTCTCATGTACAAAGAATAGGAATGGAACATTTGTGAATCATGCCTTTTTAGGACAGACTATTCACTGAGTCTAATTCTCTATTCTTTGACTGAAGTAAGTTAACTGAAGGAAAGCTGTACCAGTGGAGTAGCTCAAATTCCAGCCCTTGATTTACAAGTTGGAGACCAACCCACTTAAATTTAATTTGATGAATTGTATTAAATTTACTTTGCACTGGTGCTATTTGAGCCATACGGATTCCATGGATATCCAAAGGACCACATACCTCTCAACTGTCAATCCAGCACATTTCAGGAGTGCTTCACATACACTTCCCACCCTTTCAAAGGCCTCTAGAGTGTCCCTTTCAGAGCAGTTCACCCAAACCCAGGCCAAAATCCCAGTGATTCCAGTAGCTGACAAACATCACAGCAATAGTAGCCCCCAAAGCAACTCATCTCTCACAGCACTGAGATCCAGTAGCAGTGGCCAAACACTATTACTTTCGCTAACATTTCAGTGTTTCATATTGTACTATGTTATAAAGCAGAACATGTTTGAGAAATTGATTGTAAGTATTTTCTCAAAAAAGATTAAAGAAAAAACCCCAAGTCATTAATTACTACCATCAAAAAAGGACACTAAAGACATTGCAGAGGTTAAAAAATATTTCACTTCCCAATGGAAGCTTCAAGAGCATCAAGAGTTCTGCTAACATATTCTACTTACAGGCTGCATTTATTTAGTCTGTAAAATTTGTGTCTAGCCACACACATCCTCCACACATACTTTGCTGTTTCCATATCTTCCTGCCAAAAAAAAAAAAACAAAAACAAAATTTGTATATTAGGCCAAATATGCCATACCCTTCACTTGCTTCCAGACAAGCCACTGAAATTTTTAAGATTAAATTAGCATTGACCAATTTCATTCTAATATACCTTTATTACTGTTACCAGGTTTTCCCTAAAACTGTATTTTGCAGGCTTGAACATGCACTCTAGCCTAACAGTCTTATCAGATTTATGAAAGTTGAAAGCAGAAGCCTTTTGTTGAAGACACTCTTATCAGCTATAACATTAACACAATTTAGAGTATAAATGTATCATGCCATAAGATTGTCAACAGCTGCCTTCTTGACCAAGGCAACTGGTAGATGCTACATAAAATTAATTCTGCAAGGAACGCCGTGGCCCATTCCAGCAAAGCTCTAAGATCATGTTTATCTTTAAATGCCACTGATTTAAAAGTCAAAAAAACATGCTAGAAATTTTACTGGAATGGATGAAAATGTACTCAACATAAAAGGTCAGATTTTTAATGCCTTCCCGTACAAAGCTAGCCAGAGACAGTATTATTACTTTTAACTCACTCATGCAGTTCAAAGTTGCTAAATATGTAAAAAAACAGTTTTTATCCTTTGAGTTAAATTGTCAGTCTTAGTTCATGTTTTTATTTACTGATGCCTTAGTAGGGGGAAAAAAAAAGTAAATATCTACTCACAGTTTGAAATTGGATCGTCTCTTCTTTGTTTGCCAGCTCTAATGCGAAAAAGGATTTATTGTGGGACATGTTGGCAATATCATGCCACCTGCAGACAAAAGGGATAGAACATAACTGGCAAGCTCCAATTTTCAAACCACAGAAAACGCAACTGAAGAACAGAACCACCACCAAGAATACGAATAAAGAACTGAGGACAATTAAAAGTTCATCAATCTATCTGAACAAGTTGCAGACCATCACTTCACCATCACATCTCTCTTGCATATTGACTGATAAGAAGTTAGATTGCAAGAAATATAATACCATACATTTATTCAACTTCTTGTTAAATATAAATGTAGTTTGATCCATTAGTAATAAGTTAGTGTAAATAAAGCCTGTATCATTGATTTATTAAAAGAATATTCTGCAGTGCACAAACATAGGAAGAAAGCATGACCTACATACAGGACTCTTCCTAAAGGTATTTATATGATTTCCATTTTCATCATAAAGATGTGGCTGATAGTATTTTCTATAGCTACTCACTGTGATATGCATGAGGTAGAGAAACATTAGCATCTCCATTTTGATGTAGAACAAAGACCCCTCAAATTTAAGGTCTTGGTTCATAGGCATTATGGACGCAATTATGAAATTACTTGAACCAATATGAAGCATAACCTAGCCTTTCTAAATTGTACCAGTGGGTCATTTGTCTATGCTTTTTTGCCACCCAAATACCATGATATATCTATCTCCAGTAGAACTGCCTACAGTCATACAACAAGCAAGCAATAGACAGAAAACTGGGTCCTGAAATTGGAATATGAATACTTTCTGATGTTCTCCAATGTGCAACTTTTTTCTAACGTTTACACAGACTCTGCATCGACAATTCTTTGGGAAATTATGTGAAATGCATGGACAAAGCTTAATTCTCTCCCCCGTGTACTTGGAAAGTCAGACAGCAGAGCTGCTGTTGCTTCATTCTGCAAGAAAGCAGAGTAGGGCACTTCTACCACTGTACACAATTCAAAAGAACTTGGCATCAGCTGTTCTATCAGCTGCAGAGAGAGACATTTTTGTGAAGGACAGTTAATGGTACTGACTTTATAAATTCTGTTCAACAAAAAAGAAGCACAGTTGCTACTTTCTCTAACCCCAGAAATTCACCATGAGTTCCAATAACTGTTGGACCATAGGATTTCAAGATTCTGATCATATTCAGCCAAAAATTAAATTCTAGAAGATTAAAGTTTGCTAAGAATAAAGTCTTTCTTGCTCTAGTGATAACTACAGACTACTAAGATTCATTAAAAAAAAATAAAAATCTCAATCTGTATTTTTTTTAATTTATTCTAAATTCTGTCCAAAGATGCCCAAGCAACCCTTCTTGAAGTCAGTGGGAACAAGGCCATTTCACATGAAGACTGAATTTTAACTGTTAGGTAAGCTGCACACACACCTATGTCTACAGTTTAACTAACAGAACATCAAACAATAAACTAAAACAATGTATGAATCCAAAATAATAAAACAAATGTTACAATGTGACTCTAATTCTTTTATATACAACATATGAAAGGAACTCCTAGATAATTTTACAATTGAATATTTCTAAGTAAATTAATGTGCCCATCTCAGGACTTATGATGTTCCATGTGCAGAGAATTGCTCCTTTTTGACTCAATGTGTGTTTTGCAATGGAATTTATATTAAAAGCTCATCTCTCAGAATTAATCTGGTTTACAGAGATTAATCTTGCAGTCAATACATTGAAAAATTCCCATGGACTTCAGTATTCACTGTAGCATGATGACTACAAGACTGTTCACATTTATCAAATGAATAAATACACATCATATCTAAGAGTCATTCACGCTAGTAAGGAACACATAGAAAATGTGAATTGCACAAAGATATTTTAAGAAAAAACAATACTAACCTAAATACAACAGGAGGACGACCATTTTTGTGTTTCACAAAGATACCATCCAGACATGCTCCAATGAATATGTCACTTCCTTGGCTGTCCTGTAAGAAGTTGCAAAGAATTATGCAAATATGGAAAAAAGTCTTTGAAAATAAAATTACATGAGAAACAACTACTTTTACAATTCTGAGGAGAAAAGAGGTGGTATGGTTTTTGGTTTATATTTATTTTTGGCAGGAAATAACCATTTTTACATAGGGAAAAAAAGCAACTGAGACAAAGATCAAAGCCCTGTTTACCTTTGCAGGATAGGTCTCTTCACCATAGCCCTCCATTCTCTCTACTTCTTGCATATATAACATTTCCGCGTCAGGAGGAGTAAGGCCTCTGCAAATCAAAACAATAATCAGCTAGTATTGTCAATAAGAAAAAAATCAGCTTTGTTTTACTCTGACTGACACTGTCAAAGCTTGAAAAGCATCCCCAAGACATCCAGGCAGCCATTTAATCATGCTGTTTTCATATGTACCAATGGCTGAAATATTTGTCTCAGACTTTACACTTTGATTTTAGTAACTTCTTTCTCTCTGGCATCTCCAGGCATAAATGGCAACAAAGATCAGTTCAAATTATCATCTCTGCTAATGGCAGACAATTATCACATTCTTCTTCAAATCCATCATTGTCACCATATTTTTCTCATTTTATCAGAATGATTGTTCTGGCACACATGTTCAAGACCTGAATTTCTCCTATTGCAGTATACATGTTTAGGACCAATATGAAGTCTGATGTTTCACTCTTCAGGAAAGAGACTTTCATTTACTAAATGCTGACAGATTTTTATCTGTAATGGTTTGAAAACATGAGAAGGACAAGATCTGTAGGTAAAGGTAATACTTTTTTTAATTAGATCAACCAGCAGACAGTTTTCTCGCAGACTTGCAGTAGTGTCACAGGGATGAAAAGCTTGTGTTTACCTACCTACCTCAGCTGATCTCGTAAAAGACGTGATCTCTACCTGCAAAATCCTGTCATGCTCATTCTGATGTCTCTCAATGCTTTTTAGATCATCATCTCTGTTTCTCTGCTTTTTCCTAATGTCATGCAAGTTAAGTTTTCTTTGCGGAACCTTAACCATGCAATATTGTTATGAAAGCATTTCAAAGACAAATGGATTTGAAATTTTCAAACTGTTGTTTTAAAACAATACAGGAAAAAATAATCAGTATTACATATTCACAAACATTCTTCACTGATGAACTGACAGCAGAGAACTTAACTTTGCTTTGTCTCAGACTACTGCATCTCAGCTACCTGTTACTTAAAATCATAAGCATTCTGGCACAGTGACTGTCTCCACATTTCTGCTGCCCTCAGTATCTGCCAACGTTGTTTATAAAGAAACATCCTCATTGAGGCCACAACTTCATATAAACAAGTTTTAGAAACATTATACAGGTGAAGTCACACTATTTATTTGTGTCCTGTATAATTTTCAGGCAGAATCCTTTCATTTATTTTAACGGTCTTTCTGTTCTCTTTTCACTTTCATTCAGCAAAAATTCTTGTAATTTTAATACAGATGTATCAGTGAAAAACTCATTTAAATGGGAGGTGAAATTAGTCCAACTGTCTTCTGAGATTCCCAACTTCCTGAGCTACTGAAGCAATCACATCAAAATTAAGCAATAAAGAGTTTTAGAAATTTTACCTGTACTTCTGATGTAGCAAGGCAACTTTCTGTGTCGCTTCTTCCAATATTTTTTCTTCTTGCAGCCAACCCTTAAGGTAAGATAGCATTTACAGAAGGCAATACAAAAAATTCTACAAAATTAAACGGTTATAGTTTCTTTACACAGGCGAATCAACCATCCACTCTAGTCTTGGAGCCTAAATGCTGTAATATGCACATAAACAAAAACAAAAAGCACAAACACTGTTTTGAAGTGGTTTTACTCACTTTCACATCTCCACCTCAACCTTCTTTTCAGTGTAATATACAATAACGTTGACAAGATCTTGCAATATCTTTGCTCCTGTGTAATATAAGGTATCATATCTCACTCCAGTCTCAAAGAAAACCTTTACTGAATTTGACTAGGGAGCAGTAAGCTAGATGGATCATGGAGTCTTTAATAATGATTTGCATTTACAAATCTAAAGAAAGATTTAAATTTATCAATTTTAAGTAAGTACTTACCACTGGAAACAAAGCAAATCTTTGTAGAAACTCCTGAGATTCATATTGATCATAGTCTCCAAAATCAGCTAAAAAATAAAAAATTTCTTGGATTCAAACATTTGTAACAAAATGATTCGATACCCGATTAATTGCAGCAGGATCTCCAAGTAGCAAATCTCCATCCTATTGAACTACAATTTGATAGTAAAACAATGGAACAAACTAACCAGTAATGTTTATGAAGAGGAAAAGTAAAACCACATCCCATCCTTTTACCTTGTTCAGAAAATCTGATAACACTCCTTGTGGACAGGAAAGGAGAAGAAATTATAAATCAATCAGTGTTGCTCTACATTCCATAGTTTCTTGGGGTTTTATTTGTTTGGGTTTTTTAATCACAGAATGGTTGAGGTTGGAAGAGGCCTCTAGAGATCTAGCCCTGTGCAGGGTCAGTTACAGCAGACTGTCTGAGAGCCTTCCCCGACAAGTTTTGAATATAGGGGATGGAGACTTTACAACTTCTCTGGGCAACTTGTTCCAGTGTCTCACCACTCTCACAACAGAAAACTTTTATTATGTTTAGATGAAATTTCCTGTATTTCAATTTGTGCCCATTGCCTAAGAGTCTGGCTCCATCTTCTTTACTCCCTCCTGTCAGATACTTAATTACTTGCAGTATAGCACCAGCAGACTGCTCCAACTTGCAGCTGGACTCAAACACTGCTCGGAGCAGCTGGAGCACCCTTCCGCTCTCAAGCCTTCTTCAGCTCCCTGCACCCAGACATGCAGAAAGTGGGACCTAGAAGCCTTCCCAAACTCAGGGGCATGTTCAGAAGGGACTTAATAACAGTTTTGATTTTACGCCATGCCAAAGGGCATCCCAACGAATTTGCCTCTTTTTCTGTTTCCAGGAAAAAACTAGCTAGTGTTTCAAAGAAGAGAAATAGAACAGCCTAAATTGGAAAATTTATGTGCCAGTCTCACAGGAGAAACTGTGGAACAGCAGTCTGTACGGAACGGCTGCTCCCAAAAATATAAACACAATCCCCAAGTACACAGATTGTATTTATATTACCACAGATTCTCATCCATAATAGTACAGTTTTAGAGACATTTAGGAATCAAATTTATATCAAGCATTAACAGTTAATGTGCAAGTTATTTATGATGAAAGGGGATAACTTGTGACACGCTACATCAACACAGCGCTTGACATAAAGCAGTGTTTAGAATTAGCCTACTGTAATTATTTCAAATACAGATCATTCTTGAAACCAGTTCACTCGAAACAGCAAACAACTGCTTCTGTTCGTTCACCAGCTAAAATTAACTAACCTACCTGGTATAAGCTACTGAAGTCATTGGAGCACATTAATTTAGAACCTGCTTTTTTTTTTTCTGAGTTGTTTTTTCACTGTGTTATCAACACATACAGTTTCTCTCTTATACAAAACTGAAAAATGAATGTGGAAGCTAAAAGGATAAATATTTTCCCTCTGGAAAGAGAATTATATTGAAAGATTTCTATAAACAACTCATTGAGCAGAGTGACATTTACACTGTCCAAAGATATGAAAATAACAAAGCAAGATTTTGTCAGTTGAAGACCGTTAAATCCTGGCTTGGATTAAACAGATTGACTGTTATATAAACAAGGGACTAATATAATTCACCCTACTCCACTGGTAACCACATTTTCAAAAAACATAATCATCATCTTTAATGTGATACTACCGATGCACATAATTTAAAAAAAGACCAAAAAATTAAGTTGTATGTTCTACCAATGATTTTAAGTCCCTTTCAATTTTGGCAGATAAACAATTGCTATTAGATATACTGGAGTGGCATTCACTGTGAAGCAATATACAAACACACTAAAAAAAGCTGTTGCCATTAAAAAATTTCATTTTGAGAGATTTAAGATCTAACAAGCATGTTAGCAGGGAACACCAGACATGATCAGTGCAGACAGACTTAGGACTGGTGGTTCTCTGGGGTATACTCTATCCCATCTGACCCATTCGGAAAAACAAAGCAGCCATTTTCATGTATGTATCACAGAAATGAGTCTTCAGGAGCAATTTGAAAATAGGAATTGTTAACAGTCTTGCATACTAACTTGAAATAATCTTAGGTGTTAGGATATTTGGGAGAAAAAGTGGAGATACAAGTACTACTCTACATTCAAATTTGCTTACTCATTAAAACACGTCTCTCTCTCTCTTGTTACTATGTCAGAGTAAAGAGCCTTCATTAACAGAAACAGATGAAAGGTCTGTCAATGTAAGCAGATGACTAAAGCCTTTGCCCCTGAAGGAACTCCAACGTCTAAATCAAACCCAGCTCCTGAAAATACATGTTAGATACCCAGGTACACCTCTGAGGACCAGCAATTTCAGGGCCACTGATCCCACTGTTCCCCCTCCTCAGCCCACATGATGAAGTTCTAAGGAGCAAGCCTTTCATAACTTACTGAATTGGGTCTTTGAGCGATAAATAGAAAACATGCAATAGAAAATATATCACCGAAGTTTTTAATGCAACATTAGCTAATTGGCACAAATGCCTTACTTACCCTGAACAGCTAAACCAGCCAGATGTATTGCTTGTTCCAATGTGCAAGGAATGTTGCCCTCCAAGATATCTTTCTTTAATTGCAAATAATACTGATACCTACATGGGAGAAAAAAGAAAAAGCTAACACGAGCTTCTTAATTTGAAGAGACTGCAGATGAATATGTCTGCATTTCCTATTCCTCTCTGCATTCCCCAGATTGTGTGGAGGGTAGTCTTCCTCATCATTCAGACCCACTATTTCATGGTCTTTGTTAACTCCTCCCTTAGCTTTCACATATCACTGCAGAATCAAATACTGTTACCTCTTAAAATAAAGAATCTCCATGATTTCTATTAGCATACCCCCATAAATTTTTTACTTTTACCTCTTCCTTCCTTAATATTCTTATTATCTCCTCTCTACAATGTTCAGTACACTGTATTGCTGCATTGTCTTCCAATACATTACCCTTGTACCTTCCTTCAATCACAAGTGACTTTCATTTCTGCGTTACAACTTCTGAGTACATTTTGTTCTCACTTTCAAGGCACCATTTTTTTTCCTTTAATCTGACCTTTGACTGGGACATCTCTTGTACATGCAACCACTACTAGCTGTACCATTTGTCCACACTCTGAACCACTATCCTCTTGAATTCTTCTGCCCCTTTCAGCCATTCATGAAACACCCTATCTTGAGCCCAAAACACCTCAAAACTCAAATATACCATTATAGCTACATAGACTTTGCCAAGAAGGATGTTTGTCTTTTAAGTCTAGTTTTAAAAGCTTCTTAACTTCCTCGTACTGTATGTTTTGAGGTGTTCAAAAAACGTTTATATGTGGTGCTTCAAGACATGGTCTAGTGGGTTTAGCGGGCATGGTGTCATTGGGTATATGGTTGGACTTGATGATCTTTGAGGTCTCTTCCAACCGTAATGATTCTATGATTCTATGTTAACTCCTGTGAAGTAAGGCTTTAAAACTGAGAACATGGAAGCATGTGCTGCAATTCATTCACTGATTAGAAAGGTCAGATAAACTCCACACAAATTTTCATCAGGCTAAAAGTTGGCTGTCTTCCTTCGCTATTTAACAGCCTGTTAAATACAGTGACATTTTATAAATATTGTTTAGACTCTTCTGAATCCTACTACAAAAAAGCAGTATACCATATGACAGTAGATAACATCCTTATACAACACACACGAGAACATCTGGGACTAAACCCAGGCCTTAAAAAAAAGGAAAGGAAAAAGCCACCACATATCAAGGCATTTGGGGAAATAAATCTTCCCAGTCAAGCAGTAGAACACAGCCTCTTTCCATAGAACTGCTATTAAAAGTATAAACATACAGATGAAGAATCTTGACACTACCTCATGACAGTACAAATACCATCTCTTTTGTCTAGGACATTTCCATTTCCTGGTATATATTAAACATGTAATTTGCTTAAATATGCTCAATCTTATTTATATTCAAAAGGCATGAAAAAACCCCACAGATTCCTGAAACTAATCCAGACTGTCACTATTGTACATCAAAGCAAGTACCATCCTCTAGGACTTGAGTATAAGGTTGGCGTATAAATTCCTGCTTTCTACATGGCAGTACACTGAAAAATTGCTGTTAAAGCTCCAGCACAAACATCATATTCTTTAAATAAATGCCAGATAAAAATATTCAAGGTTTTTCAGGCAATTTAGCTGTTCAATGCAACACTATGACATTTATCTTATTCTAATGCATGCTAATATACCAACAGGCACAGAATCTGAAACAAAGATTTATTAAAAAAAAAAAAATGCAAAAAGATCACTAGAATGACTTTTAAGTCAGTAAAATTGCTGAGAAAAAGCCCAAAACTTTCACAGTTTCCAGAAAGAAAATAATCTTCCAGAAATTACACATAAAACAAAAAATAAAGCTGCCAGGCATTGAGCAATACATTACACCACCAGTGTCTGCACGAAGAGGCTTATCTCCCTGAAAAGCTTTCATGCCACAATTTGTGGGAAAGGTCTCTGGCAAGGTATTTTAGCACCAGAGTATATAAAGACAGTTTAATGTAACTAGAGAATAAATTAAGCTGGACAGGACCTCTAAGTGATCATCTGGCTCAACTCACCACTCAAAGCAGGGTCAACTTGAAGTTACCAGCTTAAACACATTAATTAATGCAAGAACATATTTCTGAAATAACAAATGTATGTTTGTAATCCAGTTACTGGCTTTGTACTCATTTGACTGTTAAAAATAATAATTAAATCAGAACAACTATACACATTAAGACACTAGAAGCCAATGTATAGGCCCATAGGAATAACTGGCCAGTATATATGCTCAATTTTATTTTTCCCCTGTAGTCAGTACCATTTATGTAATGTTCCTCAAATTCACAGTAGAGGCGGATATATGATATCAAAGCTAACATTCATCTTTATTGCCCAGTGGTGTACACACACACACAAAAAAAAAATCACAAGCTGAAGTGAAGCCTGTAGTTTGCCAATGCATTGTACTGAAAGTACAGAAAGTATTGAAAGCAAAATAAAGGAAAGCATAGATCAATAAAATCTGCATGTCTTTGTGCAGGACGGACGTCCCTGAAAGCAACATTTCACTTTTCAAAACAAAAACCCAAAACAAAACAAAAAAGCAAACCCCCAAAAAAGGAGAGACAAGCATGAAGGGACTAAAACAATTAAAAGTCTGACCATGCAAGTATGCCTATGACTGAAAACAGGTTTGAACAGATTCCTAAGATCACCAAAAAGTTAGTTGTCTGCTTAGTTTATCACATATTTTAAATATTCAAAAGTGAAATAAATACACAGTTTGAACAGAAATTCTGCCTAAAGTAATAATTTCCATTTCTATAGAGGTGGTAGGGCAGAAAGCAGACAATTTTTAAATAAACCACACATTTCAGAATGCTGGAAGCAAAACGATAGACACATGTATGAATTTTACCTGGTAATCTCCTGCTGACTGCTGAAGCTGAGAAACAGTAGGCACATAGAACACTACTCCAAAATACACAGTTGGCTCCAAGGCATATTTGTCCAGCTGCTTTTTCAGAGGCTTGTCCAAATCTACCCATCTGCGCTGATTCTGCTTATTATAATACCACAGGCTAAAATATGTAATCTGAAAAAGAGGAATTTCAATTATGAAAAAAAGTTAATATTGCAATATTAGATAAAAAATACTGTATGAAAGTCTTGCTACTTAGAAATAAAGGTTTTAAAACACTGACTAAGGCTATAGGTTATTGAAAACTTTGAGAACTGGAGAGACATTTAATATCAAAAGCAGATATTACTTGCATATAAGCAATCCACATACATAAGGTCCCCCACCTGAAACATTACCAAATCTGCTCTTTATTTGCAAACAGTCCCTGACCCTGTTGTGGCAACTCACAGATGTTAGTAGTAAGCATCTATGTGTGACAGGAAAGCTAAGGGAAGTGAGGAAGGCAAATACAAAACTACATTGGACAGCAGGAGAGCAAAGTATGGGTTCTCTGGGGAACTGGCAGGCTCACATGGGATGCTGAAGGACAAAAGAACACAGGACAGCTGGTCAATCAAAGGCAAGCTCGTTAAAGCACATGAATGGGTCACAGCAACAAGCAATCTTGCCTGAGCAGGCAACTCCTGACCAAGCCAAAACACAAAATACAGTATGCACTGGAACAGATTGCCCCGAGAGGCCAAGGGATGTCCATTCCTGGAGTGTCAAAATCCCACTGGACAACATCTTGAGCAACACAATCTAACTTTGATTAGATCTCCTCTGAGAAGGAGTTTTGGACCAGAATGTTTTTCTATCATTCCATAATATAGTTCTAAATCCACATTGCAGAGATACTCATTCAAATTTAAATTTCTCCAGTATGTTCAAACTGATTAAAGTCTGCTCCTGAAGTACTTATTTCATTCAGTTCTGGACCAGCAAACAGATGTGAACTGGAAAAAATCATGTCATTATCACAGCAAAACTGGAAATCATAATTACAAGTTTTTTAATTGAGGGAGGGAAATCAGGGAATGCTACAATTTACCAGTTACATCTGTTGGTCTCATCTGGAAATTCTCAAAGTCCTTGCTACCTACACATTGTTATATGTAGAAATGGTAGAAATACCAACACCTTTAATCCAAAACTTTTCTTTATATATTTTCAGATGTTTTTAACTTATATAAAATAAAGCTGTTAAGGATGAAGTTTTATAAAATGAAGGACTATTCATCATAACAATTTTTTTCATATCAATTTCACATCAAAGTCTAATTTCTGGACTTGGAAAAATGTTCTACCTAGCAAACAAAGTATTTACTGTTGTTTTCTCAGAAGCGCTAGCATTTTGATGATTTGGGCACAGATTTGAAATTCACTGGGGAGCGACAGCTCGTACTGGAGAATAGCTGGTAGATCGCTGAAGTGATCAGCTCTGAGGCTCTTGTGGTACAGGGGGGGTTTCCTGAGCCAGGGAAACCCCAGGGGAGTGCAGAGACCCACCAGGAGCTGGCAGCTCTCACGAGAGCGGCTGACGAGCTGTGGGCCATGCCAGGAGCAATGGCGGCCACACCCCACTCCCACAAAGGGCAGCTCAAGGGAGCACGAGCGACCAGGATGGGCAAACAGGGCGTGGTGGGGCAGTTTGTGCGGGAGGACATCTCTTTGAAGGAGGGACATTCCACTGGCTGAGTGGAGAGACTTGAAGTCCACATAACCTAGCAACAGGGCACTGTTCTGTGGCCATCTGCACAGGTCGAGGCACTTATCCTACCTGACCCTCACAGCAGAATGGTGGGCACTCATTTGAGAGCAAAGGCTGAATCTCTGGCTTGGGGGTCTGCACCATCTACCCCAGCAGTGGCCGATGCCTCCACCCAGACGGAGCTGCTGAAGGGAGAGGCTGCAGCACAGACCTCAGACTGCAGGAAGTGCCTGCAGCTTTCACCTGCAACAGACAGGCCAGCAAGAGATGCCCAGAGCCTGGAGAGGGAACACAGGTCAGCAGGAGAGCACCTGAAGAGCACCACAACGGAATCCCAGCCACTCCAGCCAGTAAGTCCAGTTCATTGGTGACCCAACTTAAATGTCTCTATGAAAATGCTCATAGCACGGGGAACAAAAAAGAGGAGCTGGAGACGTGCGCACACCTGCAGGGCTATGATCTTATTGGCATCACAGAGACATGGTGGAATGGCTGCTATGACTGGAGTGTTGGAATGGAAGGGTACAGGCTCTTTTGGAAGGACAAGTAGGGGAGATGAGGAGGGGGTGTTTCCCTCTATGTCAGTGACAGCTGGAGTGCCTGGAGCTCCACCTGGGGATGGATGAAGAACCAACAGAGAACCTATGGGTCAGGATTAAAGGGAGGGCAGGGACAGGTGACATTATAGTGGGGGTCTGCTACAGGCCACCCGACCAGGATGATCAGGTGGACTAGGCCCTCTACAGACAGATAGGAGCAGCCTCACATTCACAAGCCCTGGTCCCCATGGGGGACTTCAACCACCCCGATATCTATCGGAGGGACAACACAGTGGGGAATAAGCAATCCAGGAGGTTCCCGGAATGTATTGATGATAGCTTCCTTCTCCAAGTGACAGAGGAACCAACGAGGAGAGGTGCTACAGTGGACCTTGTTCCCATCAACAAGGAGAGGCTTGTGGGGGACATGAAGGTCGAGGGCACG